CATGTGAAAAACGCATAAAAATCCTTGTGGTCACAAATCGCTGTGACTGATTTAGAATTTGAATTCTAATGTTGACTTCCAAACAAATGCTGATTTTGTTGCAGTATGCACTTTTCAGCATGTAGCAGGGGAATACCATGGCGGACACGCTGTCAGAATTCTCGGTTGGGGCGAGGAGGATGGAGTCCCGTACTGGCTGATGGCTAATTCCTGGAACAGAGACTGGGGTGAAGATGGTTCGTTGACTTTGATTCTTGTTTGTTTCTGCTAGTAATGCTGCACTATTATATTTTTTATAGAGGGGCGTACGAAAAAACACTTTTGGAAACTTTTATTTTCTTAAGCGAAGGCAAGAGCGGAGTGCGAAGTACCGCCTATTTGGCCAGAGAAGAACATCAAAACAATTTTTACGCAAATATAAAGGAAAAAAACAATTGTTTTTTGAAGCATACCATTCACATAGCATGCGCCCAGCTTTATCTGTTTGTTTTGCTTATTCTAATCTTTTTTTTTCCAGGTTATTTCCGTATCTTACGTGGAGCGGATGAATGCGGTATTGAATCGGAAATAGTCGCAGGTATACCCAGACTGTCGTCAAAAGAAAAGCTTCATGACAGCTAATAAATGATTATTTTTGCTTATGCATGCTCGCTTTATCGGCGTTGCTGAACAGCAATAAAGTGTCCGCATATGTTTTACTTGATTTTGACGCTATTTTGCAGCGGCACAACAACGGTCTGATCAAGCATTTTTGCTCAGTGGCGTTAGCACTGAGAGCGTTAATTGTTGAAAATGCCCTTATTTGTCTTTCCTCACACACTCTTTGGGAGAGTCACCGGCTGAGCAGCTCGAGTGACATCGTGTGATTTCGTGATTTTAACGTCCTAGCATGCCTGGTTATCATGTGAAGAGGATACTGATCAGAAGCTAGGCGGCAGAAAACGCAGACGAGGGTAAAAAGAACGGGGCGACAAAGCATCGCAAAAGAAGGAAATTAACAATAAAAGCAAGTCAAAGTTTAAGCGAGTTAAAATTGACGTAGAAAAAATGGACAGTACCAAACTTCCCTGTTTATGATGAGCAAGCTTAGATGATGGCAAGGCAAGCGAGATCGGCTGGATTTCACAAAAATTTCACAAAAAAAACCCGGATATGTTACCTTCGGCAATAAAAAATTGTGTCGAACTTAAGTTTTTTGCGTATTAGCAGAAACGCATATTGTCGAGAAGTCGTCTGTGTATGTGTGTGTGTGTGTGTGCGTGTGTGTGTGCGTGTGTCCAGAAGCGAGTGAACTTTGTCACCCACTTTCAACTCAGCAACCACGAAAGCTAGGAGGATGAAATTTTGGATGTTTTTTCCTACCCCATGTATCGCCCTTCCGTTTTAAATTTTTCGCTCATACGCGCCTAGACCTCGCAGACAAGGCCCCGAGAAAAATATGCAAATTTCTTTGCCGGGAACGATTTCGCGAATCAGGCAAGGTAGAAAGCTGAAACCTTGTAGGGATGTTCTATGTGCAAGTGCGAACTAAAATTTTCAAACTCAGCTGTCGCGCTCGCCTGTGAAACGCGTACGATCACGTCAAAATTCGCAAATTGGTGCTATGCTAACTGGAAAAATAACCAAAATGCAGTCACTAAAATTCCGCCAGCATATTTATCGTCCATACGGTAAATCCTGTCCCTGAAATTAGTGCCGATTTAAGCCACCACTTAGGGCACATCGCCACCATTTAGCGCCCGTCAAATATATTTGTAGCAAAGTGGCTATTTCGTTTACCGGATAAGGTACTAGGCCGAAACTTCGCCGGGATATTCTATTTTCACGTATGGTCTTAATTCTGCTTAGAAGGGAAATTCCCTACAGGTGATTATGAAAAATACTCAACTTTACAGCAAACTCAAAAACAAGTGCATTTTGTAGCGAACGGCCGCATTCATCCTCTTCCAACATCCAGTTCATTTACACACTTGAATTTCATGTCGAACGACCGCTTTAGCAATATTTCCACTTTTCAGTGATGAACATTTCAGTGAAAAACATTTTCAAAAAGATTCCATTTTTGCATTTTCAAAAATTCGCATTTTTCATTTTTTCAAAAAGTGAGCGTTTATTGGAAAAACTATCGAGTTTCATGCAAAAAACTAATAATCGAGTAACAGGAGGTCCATGCTGTCCTGTCATGCGATACCTCATCCCAACCGACGCCTTTTCTGCTGCATGGAATAGGCCACAGCACAGCCAGTATGAGTCCAAGTGTTAGGCTACAGCGCAGCGATCATTCCCGTTATTAGCGACCTACGAGTTCAATGCAAAAACGCATGATCGCACCGGCAAATCTGGTGCGCTCCAGCCTGGGTTTCTTACTAGCCTTCATTTAGTATCAAATTTCGTGCTCAACATTAAAAATCCAT